TCACTTAAATCCATAGCAATTTTAGTATCTTTAAACAATTATTATTCAATATTCTTATTTGTTTTCGTATTTTTGAATAATAATAATGCTACATGCTTTTGATTTAATCATAACTTTAAAAAAAACCTTATGATTTTTAGAAGATACTATGTTAAATTTTCTTATAGCTGTATTTTTTTTACATTCTTACTTTGTACACAGGGAAAACAATCACGTGAATTTTTACCATAAGAATAACGGTAAGGTTGGGACAGTGTGAGAATCACTATAATTTTTGCCGTACTGTAAGGGTAATTCTTTTGCAAAATGTACTCTAATGCTACTATAATTTTAAGTGTAGAGTGACGGTTATTAGGTTACCCCTTACTTAGCAGTAAAAAGAGTATCACGTGGGATGGAGGTTAAGGCAAAACAAGCGTCTGCTACTGTCGTAGATCTATAACCTAAAAACTGCCGTGCTTTACATGATCACCCTCTTTACTGCCAAGTGAGGGGAAGAACTATCGTTACTGTCCTATAGAAATTGTAGAAGTATTAAAATTAACTTTGCTAAAAAAAATTATCCTTGCAGTGTGATGAAAATTACAGTTGTTGTCACACAATTCTAACTTTAATATTGCTTTCTCCGTAAAAATTTGAGTGATTGTTTTCTCCATGTACCCAAATTTTATTATTAATGTTAAAAATAAGATTTTTAGGAATGCTTATGTACTTAAGAGAATTTGCAAGATCATTGATTTTATTAACTTTAAGCCAAGCTGTTAAGGATGTTTGCCATTTAATCACTGTATTCTCAGTTTTACTTTCTTTGAATATTAAGTTTTACTCACTTTCAAGACGTACTGATACGTGTACCATCTTTTAACTTCTACTACAGAATGGAAAATCTTGCAATCTGTGCGCTGCTTCTGTTGGAATCAAATGTGTACTAGTGACATTTTAATTATGATAAACATAAGATAATAGCTAATAACTTGGATTGAAAGGATATGAAATCAGTACATGAACCGAATACAACTGTAAATTAATTTATTTACATGATACAGTACAGTGTAGGAAAAAAAATAAAAATCAAATACAAATGGAAAAAACGACTAGCGTCCTTAGAAAAAGATGGATAACTTATAAAATAATAAAATCTTGTGAAAATAAGGAAAATTTTTATAAGAAAATAAAGAATAGTACCAAAAATAATCAACGAAATGTTAAATATAACATCCATGTTGAAATATGTCTTCTTTATTTTTCGATTCCCAATAATAAACATCCAAATATTTTTTTTTCTAAGGAACCGTGGGTTACCATTTAACGATTTTTTTCTTTTCTTTCCTTAAACGATGTTACACCAGTGAAAGGCTTAGAAAATTTATTTGCACATTGAATATTACGTTAATCTGTAAGTAGTACATAAATTTACCTGAGTGTGAGGTATGTGCCGTAGTAATCAAAGTAAACAAACATTATGAACGTCATACAGAAGAGCATATTAGCAATAAATTACTTAAAAGTAATTTTTGTCCAAAAATAATTAAGAAACAAACGCATATGTGCCATAACATATTTTAATACAATCCTATAAATTTAAAGATTTGTGCAGAATGTGGAAGTAAATTTTGATGAGGTGATGCATTAAAAAGATACGTCGTTAATGCACATAAGAAATTAAGTATACAAAACTACTATTATGTAAACATTTTTAAAGAATGCCTTTTTACGAAATTTATTTACAAAGTAATAGTTACTTGATAACATTTAGAAGCATAATCAGCACAAAAAATTAATTTCAAGGTAAACCATACACAAGCATGCAAACATTGAAAAATATTTTCAGAAGAATTAAGAGAACATATAGTGATCAAATTTCTTACAATGAGATAAAATTGGAAAAAAAGTGAGAAATACTGTTGGAATGAAGTTGTTATGAAAAATGTATAGCTGACACGATTAGAACAATACAATAATAGTTAATAAAATTATAATATACTTAAAAAAAAAGTTTCTAAGAAAGTTTAAAACTTAAAATAACAATTTATTGATGGGGGCTTGGTGCGCGAAGTGCGCAGGAGAGCGAAACCCCATTAGTATATTTATGTATACAAAGTGACTCTGTGAGGTAGTATATTGATTTTGATTGCATCTCAAATTTTTTATATTCAGTAATATCTTATGTACGTATGCGTTATTTTTAGTTTGCGTAATGAGACCCATCGAACTTGGAAGATACGTGGCACTGAAAATATGTTCCAATTCATAATTATATAGGTAATTTTTTGTGCTAACTTCAATCCCTTAATCATCTTTATCGTCCTTACTTTAACAAGAAATAACTTAACTTATTCTTAAATTCAAATATTACTTTATCGATATTGTGTAACGAATTTTATAATTTTACTATACTTTAAGTTTAATTATAAAATTGAAAATCTAGTACACAATGGATTTTAAAATTCTGATTCAGGATTACGTGAACAATAAAGCACAAAGAGACAAAGTATTATATTACATAATTTTTTAATTATAATGAATCGCTGTGTAATAGAGTTCAATTTTTTAACAATGGTTCGAACGTTAATTTTTGCAGCAATGGTTTTTTTGCAGAGCTTTAAAATTCTATTAAAATAGACATTACTGTTCAATTAGATAGGTATTATTTTTTCATGCCATGTTAATAACTTTGCTGTTACAATTGTAAAACAAAATTTTTTTTTTTAAGTAGTAATGAATTTTCTAATAGCAGTTTACGTTAAATAAAGTTTTTTTACGCAGCGTATTCTGTTTTATAGTTACGTACTTCCTAACATTAGGATAATTAAAACATTTTTGTTTTAGTTTAATTGACGTCAGTAATGTACGTAACAAAAGCACAAATTTCTCGAATCTTATAAGCGGATACCTATGCGCACTTGTGTACGTGAGACATTCCCCGTCATGGCGAACGCTTATCAATTGATATTTTTCACCTAGCACTGTTCATATTGCTCATTTAATAAACAATATTCTAATTTTCTCAGATATTTTGACCCATTCTCCACTGATGGTCATAAAATTAGGATTTTACTCTTTACACCAAAAATAAATATAATCTCATTATGTTTTTCTGATAGTTTAAAAAAAAAAAAAAAAAAAAAAAAAAGAACAATACGTTGGTAGTAAGTATTTTGTGGATATTTATGCCTAGATTGAGAAAAAAATGTTCAAACATAGTTATGGGTAGATTTCACCCTTTAATTCAATATTAAAATCTAAATTTGGACATGTATGTTATGATTTTAAAATAAATGTTCTAAGAACTTTTTTCGTTTTTTTTTTTTTTGTCTCTTCGTTAAAGTGGCACATTGTGCATGATCCAGTAACTTGCTGTTAGTAATAAATGAAGGCAGAAATTGGCAGTTTATTACTTTAGACATCAAATTTTAGCAATTTTTAAACTTCGTTTCTTTTAACTTTCAGAAATTTTTACTATAGTATTTAGCTTATTTTAACCTTTTTGATAATATTTTTTTATATTCTGAAGTATCTTTTGTTACACTCTTATTTTTGGCATAGTATGTTTTTCATATAATTTTTTCGAAACATATCAGTTTGTAATTTATGAATTATTCTGATTGGCAAGTTAATGAAGTGACTTTGTGAATTTTGATAAGTTTTTTTTAGACAACTAGATGAGAAGCAACAAATGTATGAGGATTATCACAAAAAACGCGCTGAAGAGACCATATAATTTTTTTTTTCTTTTTTTTTTGCAAAAAAAGATGTTTTTTTCAGTAGTTAGTAATATATAAAGTGAAACTCACTGTTTGAGAATAGACATACCAAAATCGTGTTAAGTATGAGAAAATACTTATGAATCGATCAAAATATTTTTTCCTCAAAAAAAGTACACCTCAAAGTTTTTGTTATGTGGGCTAAACATTTCACACAACTTTTGGCTTTACTTAGGTTTACTTGCATGGATGTGTATATTATTTGCCTGTTCTACAATCTGAGGTTGTAGCTTTGGCTTACAGTCTTATAGAAATAAGTAAATATAAAAAAGTGGTTGACTTAGCTAAATTTCAGGGGTGCATGCCTCTAACACACGGAGCTAACATACGGTTGTCTAGTGCTTCACCTTATGTCACATGATATATAAATGACTTTTTCCATCTGAAACACACCTTTTATTCCTTATGTCCCATTTTAATCTTGGATTTTTTACCGTGTTTGTGTTTTCTCTTCCCTGTACCTGTCCCAACGGGACAGCTTGGTTTTTGGGTTCAACTTGGGTAAATACAGTAAGGGTTATTTGCTTCAAGCTCCAAGACAATTATTCCTTAGAACTAAAGATGAAAATATTAAATTTATTTAAGTAAATACTACAACATACTTTCATATAACATCAGAATTTAAAAAAATACTGGTTTACTTGTTCCATAGTTCTAAATAGTTTGGTCAAAATATAATTATGTTTTTGTATAGTGCCTAAGAACTGGAATCAAAATTATAATTATTAATTCCATACAGCTTTAGCAATAGTGAGCCTTTTATAAAATTTATGTGAGAGTCTTATCAGACTTATTGGGTCCAAGCATATAGTATGATATTATAACGTTGAAGATAGAAACTTGTAATATATAATGCTAAATTAGTGGTCCATACCCCTATGTATTTTTTAACCATGCTATTACTTTTTAAAATAGACAAAATTTCATTACATTTTTAAAATAAGAAAAATTATTATATTTTTAGTTCTTTTGCAGCAGTTAGCCAATCGTACTAAGGTGTTACATAGAGATTAGTAACTATATAGCTTTCAACTTCATTTGCAAATAATCAGTTAAGTTTTCATGAATATAAATTATCTTATTAAGGATTACAAAAGGCGTAAAGTTCTATGTTTAAAAAATTGCAGTTAAGCAATGTTAAATTCTTGAATATCATAGTATATAGTATTAAAAAAGAGCATAATTTAGTGGTATATAGGAGCTGTTCTTGCCACTTGATAAAATAATAGTACTCACAGTGAGACCAGCAGCTTTTATATCCAAAATATTGCTTAACATAGATAGCAGGTACTATCGGGTTTGACTTCATGTACAGAGTCACAACAACAAAAAAAGCTGTAGAACCCCAGGCCCATAACGAATAGTAGAAGAATTCCCGCTTCTTGTTACAATCAGAAACCATGATATTGTTGCCTCTAGTGTATCTGTGCACCAGCGTGTATGTCTCGATGCAAATTACGTTAAGCCAGAAAAAGCATGCTATTAACGAGAAATGAATGACGAGTGCTAAAACAGAAGGAAACGAACAGTTAATGTGCAACGAGTCATAGCATTATCAATTAAATAATGTTTTTTTCCAACAACAAATGTATACCTACAGTAGTTTAATTTTAATTTAACACAAAGTGTGTAAGGAAAATTACTCATTTAGTGACAAATCCATAAGTACGTAAAACTATTCCTCTCATCACCTTTCACTACATTTTAAAACTAGTAAGGTGTATAACATTTTTCTTGTTATTGTTATAGCTATGTAAGAATATTAAAATTTACTCTAATTTATCGATGGGTAAGTATTAAATGCGAGTAATTGAATTTATCGACATTTCCAATCCAATACGTTATTGCTAAGGCAACTCGACTTTTTCAGTTTAAACTAACGTTTGTAGAAAATTGTCATACGTAGCAATTAAAAAAAAAGTGCCACCTCAACCAGGACTTAAACCTGGAACTCTTTTCTTACCGGGAAAGTGCGTCACCAATTCCGCCATCGAGGTCTTGGTGACTCTTCTTCTCAATCGCTACATTTTATACTTTTTCAGTGATTTTTCAGTCCAACGCCTTACTCATATGGTATGCAAGAATATTAGAGTTTACTCTAGTTTATCAATGGGTGTAACGAAGAATGCACAGCTGTTTTCAAATTAAAAATGAAATGCCATGTAGAGAGTAAGACCCCAGGGATCAAGAGTCACTCTCTAAATTTAATTAGGGGATGATTTTTGAGTATTTGAAATAAGATTGTATAAAATAAAAGAAGCTTATAGCAGGAAAAAGCCTTTGGGCAGAAAACCCGATTTATTATGCCAAAGGGTTGTACATCAGTAAATCATGGGTGAAAATAACAAAATATACTCAAGTACATTAATATTTATGTAAGTTTGTGGTGTTTAAAAACAATAATTGTACCTTGTCAGGAACTACGGTTACAATAAATCTGTCACTTCGATTCATTTAACGTGAACAAGATTATGAGCAAGGAGCTTGGCTTTTTTGAGTCTGCTGACCAGGCAGGACCGCTTTTTTCGTTGCCACGAAATATCGTTAATGCCTCGCTGGGAGACGATGTTTGGTCACGATCGACGCAAGCTTGAAGTCGATCTCAATTCTCTTTTTAGGGTTAAAAACGAGGGTTAAAGCGACGTGCGATCAGGGAGAGAGTTTCGTGAGAAGTGAAGTTGTATGCGCAAAAAACCGGAGATTTTTTTATATATTTCGATCGTCTGTTCTTTATACATTCTTTTGTCAAATTGCGCGCACGAATCTTACGACTTTTATCGAACACCGAAGTTCGTATTTTTTAAAAGAATGAACTACACAACAATGAGTAAGATTAAAATGCGAGTATTTTAGGTGGCACTTTTTTTAATTGCTACATATGACAATTTTCTACGAACGGTTGTTTTAACTGAAAAAGTCAATTTGCCTTGGCAATATCGTATTAGATGGGAAATGTCAATAAATTCAATTACTCGCATTTATTATTATACCTATCTTAAGCAACAAAGAAACTTTAACATAATATAAATATACTGTTCACATATATTCTTTTTTCAATTAACGGTTAAAATAAAGANTGTTATACTCAAATAAGTTAGTAGAACCACTACTTATCAATTTTTATGAATTTTTAATTAACTATTTTCGGTGGCTACACCCCCGATCATCATTTTAATTTTTTTTTCCAGAGTTTTTGATGCCATTTTTATTAAAAAAAATAAAATCGTATGAGATAAAAGAATCTTAATTGTGTCCCTTAGGTCCGAAAACACTTTCTATTTGTCAAGACCTCCGTGACGTGACGAGTACCTAAAAAGCCTTCCTTTAATGTAGAGAGGACACGGAAAACATGCTTTTTTATTAATTTCATTCTATTCTTCGAATTTTTTATCAATTGGAAAGTAATCATAAGTCTAAATTATGTATCAGGTGTACATCACTTTTTTTGACAAATCAGGATTAGGTGTTAAAATAAAGATTCTACAAATCCTAAATTTTTCTTCTATTTATCTTATATATTTAAAAATTGTTTAAAAAGAGCTGTCCACACATCCTCCCCATACCTCCATGGTCGTACCACACCCCCCCACAGCCACCCCATCAACACCCAAAAATACAAGGAAAAATTCTTTTTAAATATAAAAAGAATTTATAAAAATGGTAACTTTATAGTCTCAACAATTACCATACTTCTATTATTGTTTTCATAACAAAAGAAATTTGACAAAAATCTCCTCATAAAAAATTTATTTCCAAAATGTATGTTTGTATTACATAGATCATGCTTTCAAAATGTATGTTTGTATCACATGGATCACGTTTTCAGAATGTATGTTTGTATTACATGGATCACGTCAGGTCCTGTTTACTATTTCTAAGATTTTTTTGGAATGATAGAGGCTTTATCCCTAAAAATAGAATAAACTTCTTATGATTTTTTTTTTAGATTCTATTGCTAAAAATAAATTCTCTATATTTTTTAAGTCCAAAAGTAAACGAAAAGCTCTGTGACTGGTCATTTGTTTACGAAGCAATACCAATGCGATGTCGGTCCA